AGATTTCCCAGAGCCCCTGCCCCACAGCACCAGGTCCAGCGTCTTTACTGTCCTGTCAGCGAGTCTGTCCAGAAATTTGTGGAGGACTCAGAGTAGAAACACTTCTCCCTGCCTTGAAAGGCTATTGTTGAATGGAGCACAGATGTTCTCGAATGAATGAATGAATGAATGGACGTTTAGAGATGACATGGAAAATGCCTAGCACAGTGACTGGCTCATAGAAGATGCTTCACCAATAATATCAGTGGGAAGTGTCAGCGGGTGGCAGACAAAGCCATCGAGACCTCTGCTTTGCCCTGTCCTGGCTATTTGACTTCATGTAAGTCCCTGGTCTTTCTCAATTTCCCCACCTGTAGATTCTACCTACAATGCAGATTTGTTGCAAGAACTAGAGATAACATTAAAAATAAATAAATAACAAGATCAAGTAGTAGGGAAGCAGTGAGCTCCCAGCTCAGGACCAGCGTCTGAGGAATACCACTTTTGAGGGCTTTGTGTGAATAGAGTGATGGACAAAGGGAAGACAGATGAAGGAGCACCCTCAGCAGGCTGTCTCGTGGGATGCAGGGAGGCCTGGCAGGCGGTGGGGAAGCGATGGGGACGAGGGGGACAGTAGGAAAGCCCAGGCCAGGGCACTCACATGGACCTTCTGCACCTGGTAGGTGACAAGGAAGCCGGTGCTTCAGGAAGATGCTGGACAGTGGATGGGAGCAGTGTGTGGGGTGTGAGCTAGAGTCCTACTTCCCCCTTCAGAAATAAGTTAATAAAATGACATTAATTCAACAGCCCTTGATGGGCTCATTCCTATTAACTCCTGCCTTTGGCTCAAGCTTCTTCTTCTGTGTACTGTCAACCTCGTGCCCCTGAAACAGCCTGTCATCTCGGTCATTATCAAAGACGAGGAGGAGGAATTATTCTGACGTCCTCAGATGGGAATCTACCCTTGGCTTCTGACCGTGACTGTCCTACAGTGGCTCCAGGCCGCCCTGGCTTGCCTGTCCATCAGGGTAGCAGGAAATCTAACAAAATCTCCCCTAGGAGGACAGGGCTCGGGCGCAGCTGGGGCACCCGCAGTCCTGCATGGGCCCGGGTGGTGTTTCCCCGCTGGGCCACTTCTCCCACTGCGGACACGGACACATACAAGGTCAGGTCCAGGAGTCCCGAGACGGCTACTGTCTCCCTGCTTATCACTGAGTACCTCCCACCCACCCTGCCCTCTCCTCTAGGCCCGCCTTCTCATGGGCACTGCCGTACATCCTTTCTGAAATCGCTGCTTATGCCTGGGCAGACCAATGGAAAATTTGAGAGCATTCCGGGCCCCTGCAAAGCTAAGCTAACATTCTCAGAATCCATGTGCTGTGGCTGTGGCTGGTGGGGGACAGTTTCGTTATTCATAACCTCTGTCGTGCCTCTTTCAAACTATAACTCTGATTCCTTTTGGAAAATGTGAAAATACAGGCAGGCAAACAGGCAATAAAAGCACCCATCAGCCAGAGGTAAACACACGCTGGCCTGTATATTTCTAGGCTTGCTGTCTACGCGTATACATATCTGGTGTGGTTTTTAATGGGACTGTTCAGTGCTGTTTGGTAGCCTGATCTTTTCACATAACTATTGCAAATAGCTTTCCGTGTCATTAAACAGGCTCCCACACCTTCGCCTTTAATGACTGCCCAGTGTGTGCCAGCAGAGGTGTGCCCCAGTCAATTGGTTGTGTTGTTTTTTCTCGTGCCTGTGGTCTGCAACTCACATCATTAACTGCTGGAAGAAAGTGCCAAGGTTTCGCCAATTAGAGGCTCTTCATTAAAAATGGAACAGGCATCCGAAGCCCTCCAGGGGGTGGGCCACTGTCCTTGCTCTTCTGAAAGGTATCCCCGTTGTAAACTGCAACCTGGTCCATCAGCCAGACAGGCTGTGGGTGTGGAATAGAGGACCACTTGTATTTCCCTATGGCTGTCTCTGGAGAAGGCGGAGCTGCTTTAAAAAAAAAAAAAAGGCAGAAGCAAACGTTTTGTAATTATTTTCGAGCGCGCGTGGGCTCAGTGGCAAGAATGAGACGGAAGCCTTGATTTGTAACCGCCTGCTGCACTGTTTGAAATGCCTCCCCGAGAGGCAAGGAGGAAGCCAGTCTGAAGTACTCCGATGCTGAAATTTGCATCCTCTCTTAGCTGGTTATTGTCCCAAAGGACATTTCACATCAAATTGTACTTGTTTATAAAGATCTTCCACCCAACACAGACCACTTCTTAAGACACTGCTGATATGGAAGCTAAAGATATGCAAAGAGAGAATGAGAACCACTGCGCGTCCCTGGGTAGAAATATAAGCAGATTTAACGGCAGCCGCTTGCAGCTGGAAACCCTCCATGGACGATCGTGTTCAGAGCTCAGGGAGGCAAGTAACAGGAAAGCCAGCAGTAACTGGTACTCATTAAGGAAATGCATTTGTTCGAGCTTTTCGGGAGAACCGAGAGCGGGCTGCCCTGCACTGGGCACCAAGAAGCAGAGGTAAACAGCCCCCCATTGACACACTCAGGGAGCTAACGGTCTAAGAACATTTGAAACACGGTACCATAGGCGCTGCCCAGGCACTCATGTACAGGGCACATGACAACACAGCGTCGTGACCCTCTGCTGGTGGCACTAGGGTGACAGGAGCCCTAGAGGCAGAGGACGTAGAGATAGAACTGTGTCCGCCTTCCTGGGACACACAGGCACGGGGGCATGAGTTGCCAGGATGCATCTGAGCACCTGACCAGATAGAGGTGAAGCAAAGGATGGAGCCTCAGGAAATGAGACCGGTGAGGCCCACAGGAGCTGGGCTCTTGGCGTCCCGCGTCCTGGGGACAGGGACCAGGCTCTCTCCAGCAGGCACATGTCATCTGATTCCCACAGGAAAGGCTCTTTCCAGCTGGTATGGAGCTTGTGAGACTGGAGCAGAGGACAAATTAGGAGACTGTCATTACCATTCAGGCAAGAAATGACTTGGGTGTCCACAAAGCACAGTGACCATGGAAAGGAAGGAAGAAGCAGTGATTATAGGTGATGCAGTCAACAGGGCTGGGGAGGTAGGACAGAGAAAAGGCAAAGGACAAGACCCCCAGGAAGGACAAGACCCCCAGGAAGCAGAAGAGGACGGCACCTGGGGCAAGGTGACCGAGAGGGCCTCCCCTCCCTGGAGGGCGCTGCAGGAGGTCGCCCAGAGGGGGAGAGGAGCCGCAGCACCGCTGGAGGATGGCGGTGACGGCCGCGGTGCTGCTGTGGGCGGGATGAGGAGCTGCCCTTCAGCACTGGACGATGTGAACCGAAAGCCCCCGAGGCCCACCTGAGACCGGAGGCCAGTCCACAAGTGGTGTTTTCCCAGCAGCACTCAGTGGCCAAAGGGGAGGAGAGGGTGGATGACACATGGGTTCCAGGTTGGATTTGGCTGTCTGGCACGGGGATAGATAGCCATGTCCCCTGTTCAAGGGAACCTAGGATGCCAAGATGACAGTGTCTGGAGTGCTGCCCAGGGAAGGAACGAAGGCAGGAAGAGCTGAGAGAATGAGGGGTCAAGGACTCAAGTCTCAATAGAGCAGAGATGAGAAGGGCACCAACAGGCGTGGGTGACAACAGGGACCAGAGGCTGTGGTCTGCAGGTGGCATGCTGAGGCATCAGCCTCCAGAGGGGAAGCAAACACATGGATGGCCATGCCCAGGAGCTGACCCGGGAGCAGGTCACTGCAGTGGGCTGGTGTTTTGGCAGTGCCCACAAAGGACAAGGGCCAGCAGGATGGAGGAGGGGCTGTGTGACTGTCCTCCCACATTCCAGCTGGGGAGGACTGTTTCCCACCAGTGTCTGGGGCCCCGAGGCCCAGCAGCCTGGTCAGCAGCCTGCGCCTGAGCTAAGGTTGAGGGGTTTAGTTCTCCCAGGTGTGGATGGCCCTGAGAAAACTGCCGTCCTGGGAGAGGCTTTAGTGCCTGGAGGAGGGGGCAGTCTTGGGTTCCAGTTGGTGGGCCTGGAGGCAGCAGAAGGTGCCCACCTCTGGGGGAGACCCCTGTCTCCCAAGGGAGCTATAGGCCCAGGAGGCCAGTGGGAAATCCAGGTACAGCTAAAATCCATTCTGTTCAGCAGAGCCTGGTTGAAACAAAGGCCATCCCACAGTCAGGCATGGCGGTGTGTTCACTATGCGTCCAGCCCTGGGGACACCCCAATGCCAGTCTTTGTCAGTGCTGGAGGGCTGGAAGGAGTCCTCCCATGGGAGCAAGGCAAGCCCTGCCTCACCCTGTCCGCTTGTCACCGAAGCTGAGGTTTCAGAAGAGGTACATGGTGGCTGAGGAAGAACCTGGCAGTCTAAGGGACGCTCCTTAGAACCGTGACTGCCAGGCCCTCAACTGCCACGTGTGACAAAGAGCCCCGGTAATTAGTACCTCAGCACTGTCATCTGAACCACATCACCTCCCACGGCAGCACCAGACAGTTACAAATTACTCCTAAGTCTTACACTCTGCTACAGACTCAGGAAGTCTCCTAGCCATGTCCACCATTCAGTAACCGGTGGGCCTGGTGTTCTCCTTGTTTTGCCATATCTCTTTTTACATATATTTATTTGATTTCAGAGAGAAAGAGATACAAACATCAATGATGAGAGAGAATCATTGATCGGCTGCCTCTTGCACGCCCCCTATTGGGAATGAGCCCACAATCCGGGCATGTGCCCTGACCTGGAATGGAACTGTGATCTCCTGGTTCATAAGTCCAGGCTCAACCGCTGAGCCACGCCAGCCGGGCCTTTTTTATTTATTTTTTCCTACCTCAGTTTATACTCCCGCAGCCTGGGCACAGATCTGAACTTACGTCCTTTCTCTGCGGCTATCCTTCCTCTTCAGGGAGCCCACTGTCCCCCTGCGGTGTCCGAAGTCCCCGAAACAACAGCCAGGGTGTGGCGGGTCCCGTGGCAGGGTGTGGGGGTCGGGTGTCCGGCCCTGCCCACCCGGTGACCACTCTCGGCCTCCCCGCAGGTGCGCGCAGGCTCTGCTGGAGCACGGCGCCTCGGTGCATCGCGCGGGCGGCGCCGGGCCTGGACACGCCGCTGCACGTGGCGGCGCAGCG